TCAGACTGAGGATTGGGAAGGAAACTTAGGAGACAGAAGAACAGGTGCTTGTATTTGGGGATGGGGTTGGCAATGAAGAAGGCTGAAGAAACAAGAGTGGGCATTTTCTATGCCATGATCTCCCCTAGCCCCTCAACAATCCAGGTTGCGTAGCCTTGAGTGTTAAATGTGTGCCTGGCACTGTGCCAGTCACCAGCACACAGGGCTCATCACCTCATTTATTCTCATAACGACCCTATAAGGAAGGGGTATGAGCCCCAATTTACTCAGAAAAAGGAAGTAACTAACTTAAGGCCACCCAGTTAGTAAGTGACGGTGCTCCGAATGTTCAACGCACGTTCGTCAGCGAGTTGACTCTACACTGTGGGACCAGAGGTCTTTGGGTCTGAGAGAGGAATGACCCTTTTCTCCAGTGGCCTTACATTTTCATGTCTGTCATATGTGAAAGTAGAGGATTTTTAAAAACTACTTATAGTTACATTTTTGTTCAAAATGTAGAGCCTTCGGAGAGCCAGTGAGCCAGGATAGGGACCGTGTTCTAGGCAATGCAACACAAGTATGGTCTGCACACAGGCAGCAGCAGCATCGCCCAAGAGTGTCTTAGAAATGCACATTCTTAGGCCTCACCCCAGACCTACTGAGTCAGACTCTCTGGGGGGCACCTGGAAATCTGTATTTTAACAAGCCCCCTGGTTGATTTTGGTACATGCTAAAGTTTGAGAAGCACTATTGGAAAGTTGCCTGTAACTTTTATAGCATTTCTCCAGGATAGCAGCAGAAGATGGGGGTAGGAAGGGGGAATTCTAGCATTGGGGAAGAGACCAGAGGCTTCTTTCCAGACTTCTTAGTTAGCTTTGTCCTCTTAGCTCTGTATGTGATGGGAACTGGGAGCTCATAGAAGCACATAGTAGGTACTCAGGAAATACCAAATGGAATTAAATTGTATCTCATTGCTGTGGAAACAGCAAGGGTTGATGGCCAAGATGCAGCAAGGGAGGACTGAGATGCCGTGTCCGAAAGAACTCCTGATGTGGCTGTTGTGAGCTAGGGGCATGGGAGTCATGCCGGTAGGACCGCCCACTCACAATGGCCGTGTTCTCTCCCATTCTCATGGGCTGAGCAAAGGGTCATTATGGCTGGAGATCAGAGGGAGATGCTCTCCATCATCTCCATCAGGTGACAAATGAAACGTTCTGACGACCTGTGGGACCTACACTTTTATGAGGAAGAGGAGGCCAGAAAGGTAGAGAGACATTAGAAAGGCAAAGGCAGCAATTCTGGAACTGGATTTTCCACAAATACGGCCCAGGGCTCGGCACCTTGTAGGTGGTTACCAGGTAACTGTTAAATTGAATAGAGAATCCCAGAAAAGGACTCATCAAAACATACTGACTTTCTAACACTACCATGCCCTCTGATTTCCCATTGTACCCTTCTCCTACTTCTCTGCCTGCCTTCACCAATAGCCTTCTTTCCTCCTGTTCTAGTTTCAGTCTCTCTCCCTCTTTATCCACTGCCATTTCTTACCTGTTTCCTTTCTCTTCCTTCTCTTCAAACTTGCCCACTTCACCTTTTCCTATCAGATGAGCCCAAACCATTTCCCTCCATTAAAAAAAAATTTTGCGACTCAATGAATCAGTAATTTGTAGAGCAGGAAGTTGAGGGAGTGCTAGGAAGTAGATGTGAATGAGGTAGTTTGTGCTTTTCTAATTTTTGTGAAATAAGCATTATCTACAAAAACAGGTGCATCTTCCTCCCCTCCAGCCAACTATCTATTAAAATGGTTTAATTACTTCCTGAACACCAGACAGTTAGATAATTAGAAAGCAGTATTCAGACTAAAAATTTGAGCCACCCTACTCAATCAGCGTAAAACTGTCTGATCAAGAAGCTAATTAAGAATCAAGTGTAGTGGCTCTTACTGGAAAGAGTTAGTTTAGGGCTTCAAAAGCTCCTGCCTTCTCTCTTCCTGAGGACCCTGCCTCCTCCATCATCACCAAGGATTCATTAGTCTCCCGAAACTGTATCAGCTGCCGAGGCCTCCATCCTACCTTCTTTCCTCAAGGGGCTTATGATCTAAGGGGAAGAGCGCAGCAGTATTCAAGCAAAGCTTGTGGACTAAATGAACAAATGAATGCTACAGTGCCAAGAGCGCATAGATACATATTCAAAAGGCTGAAAGAAGTGATGAGAGTTAGCACATTGGGAGAGGGTGAGAGACTGGGTAAAGAAGTCTCCTTGTCCAGAATGAGGAGGGTCCACATGTGGCCTACAGAAGATTTATGAACTTCCTAAAATCATAGCAACAACTCATGTATCAGGTTTGTCCCCTCACCCCAGGAAGACGGCCCTTAGCTTTCATGAGATCCTCAAACACATTAGGATATACTGAGCTACAGGGAGACTGTCTCTCCTTTAATGAACCCTTAAAGACTTGTTGCACAGAGTGCAATTTTAAGAGCTGTTGGAACACTGGCAAAAAGAGTGGCAGTGGGTAGCTGTCTCACCTCGAATCGCAGTGTGTTGGAGGCTGGGAGGCTTTGGGGGTATTCCCATCCAGTCTCCTTGTTTCACACCAAGGAGGCTGGAGTGACTCACTGCTGTTTGCTCCCGTGAATCAGCTCTTTCCCAGGGACCAGACCAGCTGCCTCTGGATTTACAATTGCTGTAAATCCCACTGTGCCTCATCTTCAGTCACACCACTCACCATCGCAGGTCCTAGTCTCCAAGACCACCCTCCCAGTATGGACAATCATCCCTTTCCTATTTTACTCATCCCTGAGCCGGCCCCATCTTCCCAGCCCTTCTGTTGTACCCTCTGGACCACATGGTCCACCACAGGCAACGTCTTCTCTGAATGTTACTTTCATCTTCCCTTAATTGCCACAAAACTGTTTCCTGGAGGTGGTGTTTCTTGCATGGCTGTCCCAAGTGGTGGCTGCTTTTGCTCTCATACACTATTCTGTGGGGTTGGGGGTTGGGGTCCATGTTGTCCTTGCTCCCCATTACCACTTCCAAACCACCTCTCTTCCTTTGTCCTTCCAAAGCTCCAGCCACTTTGCAGTGCACGTCATCATATATTCCCACCTCTTTCCCCTTGATGCTGTTGGCTGCTGACCACCTACTCATGTTCCTTGATGTACCTGGATCATCTGCTCCCTCCCACCAGTGTTCAGCATCTCTACAGATCAGTGGTTCCCAGCAGAGGTGGCACCATCCCCTAGGGTGAATTTTGGAAATGTATGGGTTTTTTTCATTTGTTCTCTAATGTAGTTGTGCCATAGCATTCATGTTGAAATTTATATAGTCTTGTTATAAATGACTTCCCTTTTGTTTTTCTTTACTTTATTTGTTAGGGCATCATTTGTTAGAGAGGGGGGAGGGAAGGGGGAGGGAAGGAGAAAGAGAGGGAGAGAAACAATGTGTGGTTGCCTCTCATGCACCCCCGTTTGGGGACCCAGCCCTCAATCCAGGCATGTGCCCTGAGTGAGAATCGAACTGGTGACCCTTTGGTTTGCAGGCCAGCACTCAATCCACTGAGCCACACCATCCAGGGCAAACTGCCCCCCCCCATTCTATAAATTTATTGATTCCTTGCCCAATGCATAGAAGTGGGAAGGGATGCAGGTGACTTCTAGAAACTGAAAAAGGGCATTCTCCAACTTTATAGAGACCTTTTGTCATTGACAATGCAGCTTTCCTTTTTTATTTTAAGTGATTCCTTATCCATTTTGTGTCCTTATTTCTCTCCTCGAAGCCTAGGCTCCATGGGCCAGTGTCATAATTACTCCCTCGCAAACATACATCACTCTCTCTCCTGTCTCACTTGACCAGAGAAACAAGTCTACATTAATTAAATCCAACTCTCTTCTCACTCCACAAACACACCTAGCAACCAGCTGAAGGTGTAGAGAAAAATCACACAACCAATGGCTAGACTCACTTCAAATTTATGTCCACAAATTTCAAATGGACACCCAACAACATTAGATAATTCTGCCACAGCTCCATTGTAAATTCACCCTCCCATTTTCCAAGATAATTATTTCCCACTTTCTCTTTTTCTCCCCAAATTGCCAACTTAACCCTATTTTATCTTCCTCACTGCATTTTTTCAGCACCAGAAGTAGTCCTACTGGCTTGTTTACATGTCTGTTGTGTGTCTCTCCACTAGAGGGGATGTGAACTCTCTGAGGGCAGGGTTCTGCCTCTTCAGCTCACTGCAGTATCTCTAGACCTTGGCATATAGTAGGTATTCAATGAAAATTTCTTTGCTGGATTGTCTGACATGGCTTGTTTCTGACTCTACCTCCCCTTCCCACCAGCTAATATAACTACGTCGAAGTTTTCTTTCCCAGGGGTGTGTGTATTTCAGTAGTATTGGGCTATCTCGGTGCGGACTTAACCAGTAGAACTTCAGACACCATTTGGCAGGTATGGAATGACCATGGGTTTTCTTTTATAGTGCTGTTGAAGGCGTACGCTTCATTCAACATCAGCTTAGTACTGGGTGCCATGGATACATGGCAGTGGGAGAAAAAATACAGGATGAAGCAAAAGTAGGTTTACAGTTGTGAGGACTTGAAACACAGAGTTAATTTTTGTATTATTATTGGTTATTGCATTATTTCCCTGAAGAACAACTGTGAACCTGCTTTCGCTCTACCCTGTATTTGTATTATGCCTTCATGGGCAACAAATTTGGATTTTGTGAAACCAAGACATGAGCAGGCAGAGTAGAAATAGGCAAAGGTATCCCATACAGGTGCTCAGCTCTTTCACGGACGTGGTGTCGAGGACTTGCATCTACTGAAGACTCGCTGAACCTAGGAATGGCAGCATGGGAACCACGTGACTCAGAGCTGACAGGTAGATTTGAAAAGCACAAAACAAACTATGTCAATCCAGCTTGCTCCCACACCTACATCCTTTTATAAATAAAGGGAGACTATGACTTGCTTTTCCTTACTTGGCTTTTATTTTTCTCACTGCTATCCCAGGTCTCATCATCCACGAGGGACCCTCTGTGTACCGCATCTTTAAACGGTGGCAGGCTGTCAACCAGCAGTGGAAAGTGCTGAACTATGACAAGACAAAAGACCTGGAGGATCAAAAGTCAGGAGGCAGGACAAACCCCCGAACCTCCTCGTCCACCCAGGCCAACGCCCTCTCCTCCGAAGAGGAGGCTGTGGACACCCCTGCCCTTGAGGAAGGCCCTGCCAGGGCAGCCAGCCAGCCCTCAGGCCCTCTGTCCGATCACCACTGTGCTTACACCATCCTGCACATCTTGAGTCACTTAAGACCTCATGAGCAGCGGAGCCCCCAGGGCGGCAGCCGAGAGCTCGTCATGAGGGTCACGACAGTGTGAGAGGAGAGACCTGGAAGCGAGGCCGTGACCCTGCACAGGAGGGGAGGGGAGGCTTGGAAGGGGCTGGGCCCACTGGGATGCTGGTCTGGGAAGCAGGTGGGGGGAGGCAAGGTTCCCCCCCAAGGGGCTGGAACAGAGGGTAGGCAGAGGGTGGGGAGCCTTGAGGGGTCTGGGGGCAGGATTGGAGCTGGAGTGAGTGAGGCTGGTGTGGTTTTGTGGTTTCCAATCAGTCAATACCATTCGCCAAAAAGAGCAAGGAAAACCGATGCAAACTCAACAATGAAGTGCAATACAGACTGAGCCTATCAAAACACAGCGACAACACTGGCCAGATGTCCCCATGCACAAAACACTTGGGAGAGTGGAGGCTGCAGGAGGTAGAGCTGGCCTAGGGGTGGTGCCCACATGTGTATGTGTGAAGGGAGAGAAAATGCAAAGGGCGTAGGAACGAAAAGTACTTGTGGCCTGCCCTGCTTTCCCCTTCAGTTTGTTTTGGTTTCTCTCTGCCATGATCCACTGGCAGTTGGGGGGGAGGGAGAGGGACGGGTGTGGGCTGGCAGGGATGACACACAGATTTTGCAGCCCCTGGCTCACCTGGTGGGCAGGATTTCTCACTCAGATGACTTCAGTGACTCTGGGTGGACGGTGGAAGGAGGGAGATGTTGGTATGAGCAGCCAGAGGTTGTGGGGTGGTGGGGGACAGATTCCTCCCTTCCAGACCTTCCAAACTGGAACTCCCAATTTCAGGTGGACTCAAAGAGGAATTAGGTTGGGAGATGGGTGTCTTTTTGTGCCCTCGTTACTTTATTTTATGGTTATTTGGCTCAAAATGTTTACAGGACACACACACACACACACACACACACACACACACACACACACACACACATACACACACACACAAACTAGAGAAAAGTACAGGTTTCTCCTGGGTATCTCAAGCTGTCAATACAGGAGTGACTTTCCCTCCTGCCCACCCCCACCCATGGCCAGGACATGCTGAGTGCCATGCCCCTCCAGGCTCGGCACATGCTCAGAGCCACTGGATGTGTCCCGGGGAGCAGGGTGGAGACCAGTCTAAGTACTCCCTGCTGCTGTTTGGCCAGGCCCTCAGTGCTAGCGCTCCCTGGCCCTTCCCCAGTGCTGAAGCAGCACCAGGGACCCCACTGGGGAGCACTGTCTCTCCAGCCTGTCTGCTGGTTCCTGGGACCCTGCCAGAGAAGGCCACTGAGTGGTCACCTACAGAGTTTCCTGTTGTCAATGCACAATGGCTGCGTCATCCATGGGTATTCAAGGGACACTGTCAAGTACTTTTTTAAACCAGTTTTTAGGGTTTTTTAAAACTCTCTGTTGTTTGTATTATTCTCTTAAAAGCTTGAAAATAAAATTTCTTTCCCAACCACTCGTGTCCTCTTCCATATGTGAGCTTCCCTTCCTCCGTCCCGATCGCCCTCCCTGGTACGACCCTACCTGCCTCCCCCATGTCTTCTCCAGCCCTAAGTCTCCTCCGTAGCAAGGAATCATGAGTGTTTCCATTTCTGCTTTGAGGGTACAGATGGGGCAGGGCAGGTGTGTGTGTCCCTACTGTGAAGCACTGGGACTCCTGGCCTCTTCTCGGCTCCCTGGCAGATGGATTCCTTCAGGTCAACAAGACCAACTCCCAAACCCTCCCCGGGTTTCTGCCCAGGAAATCTAGAAGTGGAGACAAGAGTGCTGGGGAAAATACGGAGAGCTTTCAGGCTCATCAGGTCATTTTACAGAAGCTGAGAGAACCACAGGAGGGGACGAAGGTGTTAGGACCCCATTTTCCTGACACTTTTCCTTTGACTATCAGAAAAAGACGCCAGGACAGGGTCCCAAGAGAAGGCTTGGACACACGAAGAAGCAGACAAGGTCTTTCCTCCCTTCAGTCTGACCTGCCCACCTTCCTCACGCTGGCAGTGGGTCGAGAAATGTCATCAGTGGGATGTGCCTGGGCTTAGGAAGGCTCCTCCCCTGATGGATGTAGTAGCTGGTGGGAGACCAAAGAATGCATACAAGCAAAACACAGAGACAAGTGAAACCCAACAAAACTGTACAGATATCTCCTGTAGAGTAAAGGTATGTGTTTTTCTGTGTGGTCTCAGACCAGGCCATCTGATTCAATTAAGTATTTATGGAAAATATAGATGTCTTAGATGGACTACCTACTTTCAGAAAAAGTATTAAAATGCAACGAAATGTGCATATCACTGCAACCACAGTAACCATGTATTGTCCTTGGTGACTCACAGGGCATGTCAGAACCTTGTGCTCATGTAGGGTCAATGTTCAGAATATGCCACTGAAGAACAGGCAATTAATGAAAAACTCCTACAGAGTGCTAAAGTTTGTGCAACCTTGACGGTGTAAGCTCCAAGACTGCAAAGACCTTGTCTGTCCTGTTTATTGCTACCCATCCACGACGGTGTGTGGCGTATTATAGGTACTCAGTAAATATCTGTGAGCGATTAAGACATTCCTGGAGGAGGACGGCCTGGCTTTAGTGTGCAGGAGATGTCTCTTTTCCTTTTAACTTATACTTGAGCTCTCAAGTTCAATAAGAGTAGAAAAGGAAAGATTACTTTTGACTTCTCTCCCCAACAGGATGGTAGATTCCCAGTGCCTTGGGAAATGGAGCCAGACCTTGACTCTCTGGACAAAGCAAAAAGGGCTTCTATAATCCTTGGCATGACCATGTAAATGGCATGTCCCCCACCACACACATAGGCTACCTCACCTGACTGCCACTACTATTGTTGTTCCTGGGTTTAGGAGGCCACCCAGGGCTGAGTTTAACAATGGGACCTGTGGAAGCAGCTAGAACTAGGTCAGAATCCTTTGTGAACATTGGCTGGGAATTTAGCTTTACTGGTCTCTGGCTTCTTCATCTTTAATGTAAAGACAATTAAATTGCCTTTCAGGATCTTTGTGAGATCAGATAATGTAAATAAAGTAGGCAGTGAATAAATTATTGCTATTATCATTTGAGTGTTCAACAGAGTAACCAGAAGGTTGTACCATTACCAGAGTGTATGAAAAACAAGGTTAAATCAAAATAAAAATGGGTGCCTGGCACCGATACTCTGTCTTATTTAGGTGTTTATCGAGCTGCAAGTAACTGATTCTATGCAACTAGCAAGAGCTTAAATAATCGAGGGTTTATTTTTCTTCTGTAATAAGACATCCAGAGTAGGTGGCTGCTGGCATCAGTCCAGCTGCTCAGTGATGCCACTAGCAACCCAGGCTCTTTCTGTCTTTCTGCTCTGGCATCCTTAGTGTGTTGATTTGTCACTTGTGTCTATAATCTCCTCATTTCAAGTGGGTTACTAAAACACGAAAGCAAGGAGGATGGGTGGCTTCAGTCACATCCTTCCTGAATGTTGGGAACAACAAAAGTTTTCCCAGAACCACGTTTCTACTCTGAGATGCTTCCATGTGTATCTCTCTCTCTCTCTCTCTCTCTCTCTTTTTTTTTTTTAGCCAGAAATGTGTCATCTCACCACTTTAGCTGCAGGAGGGGCTTGGAAAGTGATTATTTGTCTTTTTCCAGCTCCTGCTGTGGAATGCACCGAGGGAAAAGGAGATGAGATGGATGCTGGGTAGTCCAGCCAGGAGCATCTGCCCCACCCTGTGGGTAGGCGGATAAATTAGTGTGCTGTTTCTGAGGGCCATTTGGTAGTATGCTATTCAATTAGGAATGCACATACCCTTCAACCCAGGGATTCTAGTTCTTTGGGACTCTCTTAGAGAGACAGCCGCAGATGCTACCTTCTCAAAGAGCTTGGGAAATGAGGATCAGAGCAGTATCATATCACTCTAACATTGAAACAAACTAGAAAACTCCTAAATTTCTGTCAACATGAGGGTGATGCAGTCTGAGATCCTGAAACCACCCACATCAGAGAGAAGGTCATAGACCTGGAAGGACTGACAGGGACATATTTCAAAGTCATGTCATTAACTGAAAAATATAATCTGCGGGACAATATGCACAATGATCACCTACGTGCAGAAGAGAAAAAGATCTCCACCCACATGTCAACGTTAAAGTGCCGTGATCCGAAATAATGTGGAAGGATGCCACCCATCTAATTAGATAGAGCTCTTTATTTCTGGGAGAGAGTGAGGTTAGGGAATGTGCAGGGCAAACACCTGCTTATGTGGTTAGCACTTTAATAATCAGAATGAATTCATGTAATATTTATGCAATTTAAAGATTATGGTACATCTGGAGAGTGGAACATTGAGTAATCATCGACAACAATGATCAAAATCTTTGTAGAAGATTGGGTACCTTGTACTTGGAGAAGTCCTGGCTCATCTTTGCTGAGAACTTTTCTTTGGAGGAGGGGCAGCCCTGGGGGGTGTGGAATAAGGAATTCCTAGGGGCTGCAAGTTTCTGGGTTCCTGAAATTTACAATGGATCTAACTGAGGGCAAGGGCAGGGAAGATGGTCTCAGGTTGAACGGAAGACTCAGCCTCCCACTCCTTCTTGCATCTCCAAAGGTCTCTAACCAGAAGTATATCTAAAGCAGTCCTGGAGCTCCCAGAGATCTTGAGTTTTTGCTGGCAGTGCACACTTGGAGAACCTGCCCGCTGAGAGGCGCTGAGCACACCTGCAGCCAGGCTTTGCTGAGAGTGCCGCCTGCTAGCCCAGCTCTGTGCGCGCCCAAAAGCTGCGGGCAAAGCTGGCCAGCACGGAGCCAGTGCCATCCAGCCTGCAGGCAGTTGGTTCTTCCCCTGCTCTGTTCTACCTCCCTTCTCCCACCTCCCTAGGCGAGGGTTTTCAGGCAGCAGCCAGTTGATGCCTTCCAACAGCAGATGATGGTGGGCTGGGTGGATGATGCCAGCATCCCCTCCCCATGTCCACACCAAGCTCGGGAGCTACTGGCCTCTGATAATAGAAACTAGTCAGTCCTCTGCCCAGGGACTTGTCAGCTGGAGACAGTCACTGAAGGCTCCTACTTGTCCAGCCAAAT